GACCTTAAAAGCATTGTAAATTTGTAAAACCCTGTTCGAGGTCGCTTTCAGAGTTCACCAAAAACATTTCCCGAATTCGGTGTTTTTGCCAACTTTTTCGCTACGGGCCCAGTGCAGACCCCCTGAACCACACTGGTAAAAAGTTACGATTGCCCCTTCGTTACTGGTCCAGTGCAGACCCCGGTGAAGCCCTATTCGTAGTATTCGGTAATGAAGGCCTTGCTGTCTGTGTTCAACGATTGGAATCAGGACAGTAGCATCGCTCGCGAGCTTGTCCTCTTCCCATCAGTGCTGACTCTGCTGAGCCTGCACCACACTGGTGTGAACTACGCAATGTGCATGCACGCCACAGAATTCCAAAGCACAATTTTCAAAAACTCCGGGCCACCTAGCAGGCGGACGAGGGTTAGAGCATAGAGTGGATAGATGACTGCCGCATTTCAGCGCATGAATGTGGGATTCCTCCATGCTGAGGTATGTAGGTAGCTAGGGAGAGAGGGAAAATATCGAGAGAACTGAAGTGAAGAAAATAGCGAAGTGAGTACATCTGTCCCCCAAATGAGGAGAAGACAGGATTTGCTTTTTGTTTAACTCGAGGTCCTCTATTCCCATCTTCAAATTTCTATTGTCTTCATTGATCTTGAGATTCTTGACATGATGATGGATTGCTGGTGCAAGTTCTGCTGCCCAGAGACAGCTTCGAACATCTGCTTCTGGACTCGCTATCCGTTTCTGGACTCGCTAAACCCTCCTGGGTCTTGAGTTTCTCATTCTTTTGAGCTGTTAGGATATGATTCCTCTGACGAGCTGTTATGATTCCTCTGACGACGTTTGTCTAGGAGAGACATGCACTGCACAAGCTTCCGTGCGCTCATGACTCAGTTCCTCCAACCATCTCTCCCTCTCCAAACTGAACTCGCCCAAACCATCTCTCCCTTTCTCGCGCTAGTTCTTCTTCCTCCACGCTGACCTGCCCCCTGCCTTAACTCACGATGACGGAAGTGGCTGGAACGGGGCAGTGCTTGGAGTTTGTCTAACAGCTGTACTAGGGGTTGAGAGACCCCAGAAGCCAGCCATTTTTTTTTTAATACTTTCAAAAAAGCAAAAAAAAAACAGTACATGGTGTATAAAATTACTTCAAGCTACCGGACTGTCCCCTCCATCCCCACCAAGAATAGAAGGGGCATTGTTTAAGGCCCGGAAAAAAAAAAAACCTTCAAGCTGGGAAGGTGCCGCAAAGGCCAAAATGCACCTCATGGTTTTTTTGTGCACCGCATGGCTCTTGGGCCTTGGCTTAATATTTTGTGCGCAGCCTTTGTGATTTATCAATCACATCCATTGCAATATGCTTTTTCAAAGTTTCCATTTGGGGCACACAATATGCGTCAAAGTTCGGAGTAATTGTTTTTTGGTGCACAGCATGGCTTTTTTTTTTTTGGTGCACTTCATTGCTCTTGGCTTAATATTCGGTGCACCCAAAGGCCAAAAGGCACCTCATGGCTTGCTTTTTGGTGCCCCGCAGGCTGCATGGCGTTCCAATTTACCAATCACATCCATCGCAATATGCTTTTGAGTTTTAACTTTTAAGTTCAAACTTGAAACTGAGCTCATTGAGCCAGGCAGCCTTCGTGAATTCAACTGATTTGCATATTCTTCAGAACGAGGCCAGGGCATATTCGCCAAAATAAAAGTATAATAAAGTTACTGTAAACAATCGGGTAAAACTGAGAGCAGCATTCCCACCTGAGGATACACACTTGCCAAATAACCCGCTTCCCTCATGTACGGATATGATGCATGCAGAAGAACAATTCTGCTCTTTTCAAACCGCTTGTCTTCCAACACTCGCCGCAAATGACCGGGATTTGCGAGCCGCAAATCCAGATCCTTGTCTCCAAACCTGCACCAGACCCCCAAATTAGGATTGTGAACTACGACAAGTGGCCAAAGTGCAGCTTCACTGGCCAAAGACAGGAAAACTAAAATATGTTAAGTGGGATTTCAAGAAAGATCGTACTAAACAGCGCAGTGTTATTTCGCCCATGCAAAAGAACCATTTCAAGACGTGACAAATAGATTGGCAAGAAAGAAGAGCGTAAGCTGCGTAACATAGACCTTCCCTGCACAGACACCCACCCCCACCGCCACCTTCTCTCTCTCTCTCTCTCTCTCTCTCTCTCTCTCTCTCTCTCTCTCTCTCTCCCCCCCCCCCAAACACACACACACACACCCTGCCTTCAATCACATGCGTCCCTGTGGGGAGGACAGCGGAGGTGGAAGAATGGCGGTGTCGGAAGGTGGCACAGGGCAGAAGCAGTTCTCTCTCTCTCTCAGCGGCCCTTGACTGGTCGGCACCTACCGGTCGGGGGTCCTCGGCACCCCGCATAAAAAAATAAAAATAAAAACTTATAATCCCACCAACACCCCCAGAGCGGCCCCCAATACCCCCATACACCCCCCAAACCGCCCCCAACACCCTCATTACCCCCCCCAATACCCCGTATACCACCCCTATACCACCGTGAACCACCGTATACCCCCCTATACCCCCCCCCCCCCCCCCCCCCCAAACGTTTCTCAGCGGATTTGGGCTGTACTCAGCAAGCGCAGTACAGCCCCCAACTCAGATTTGAAAAAAAAATCAGTGGATGGTTGTTTTCTAACTGGTCGGCTGCAATACTGTCGGCAGTCGGGGTCGGCAGTCGGGGTCGGCGGTCGGCAGGTATGCAACCCTGCTTCAAGGTGAGAAAAAAAAAGGAACATACCCGGTATGGATCTGCATAGGAATCTTCAGTTTTGTTGCAACCTCCAGCGCCAAGACAAAGATGAGGTCCACCAGGTGCTTATCCACAATGCGCACATCACCTTGTTGCCCTGCGGTACGACATACAAGAAACGTTGAAAAGGCAATTTTCGGCAGAGAACTCATCATGCAAGGCAATAATTATCAAAGACTCGTTCCACACACACCGTACCGTTACTCAGGGATAGACACTTAAAGTCGTCGTTAATTTTTTGTCAGTGACAACCATTCTATGGCGCTCTTTCAGCATCATCAAATATGGACCAAAGCTGCAAAAGAGATACAGTGGACTTTTTTACCAAGCAGCACGCAATGCCACCCATGTCTCCAGCGCACTTGTAACAAAACATCTTGCCCTCAGAAGAAGTCCCACTGGACACTAGCCAAAATTCCCTTGGGAACCTTGGGAATTTTGGGACTGGGACTGGGACTTGGCCACGGGAATGCATGAAACCCTTTCAGTTGGTTGCAACAAAACTGAAAGGGCTTTATGAATTGTGGACCGGGCCTGGGACTTGACCACGGGCCTGTGGACGTCTGGGACATGACGAAGGGCATTCAACCAACCGAAAGGGTTTCAATTTTCAAGCATTACTGTGACTAAGTCCCAGGCCCAGTCCCAAAATTTCCAAGGTTCCCAATCCCATGTAGCACAGTTCAACTGGTAGGCCCTGTTGTTCAGTCGCAGCTTTAGAGTTTGTAGGGTTCCTCCTGTATAAGTTTCTGGCAGGTTGTTGTTCAAAGTCTGGTCCCCCAACGAGTCCCAAGTCCCAAAAAAAGAAGATCAATTCAAGCAGAGCTCGGTAATTACCAGAAGTGTCAGACAACCTCGGAGAGCAAGCCCAGGGACATGTACGTGTCGGAAAATCCAGATACTGGGAACTGCAACAAGGTACAAAAGCACTGCTACAATAATGTGGTTCCAATACAATCTCCATTCGGGTCTGTAATCAAGAAACCACGTAGGGCAGAGCTAGCACTTGTGAGGGAGAGAGAGCAAGACAGGGAGAGGAAGAGAGATTGAAGATATTTTGAGAGAGAAGCAATCCTCTGAGACGTAGGGCAGTCAACAGCGTTGGGCGCTATAGCTAGGACTTGTGAGGGAGAGAGAGCAAGACAGGGAGAGTAAGAGAGATTGAAGATATTATGAGAGAAGCAATCCTCTGTGTGTGTGTGTGAGAGAGAGAGAGAGAGAGAGAGAGAGAGAGAGAGAGAGAGAGAGAGAGAGAGAGAGAGAGAGAGAGAGAGAGAGAGAG